CTTGTTGGTGTCTGGGCCTTGACTCCTGAACGCTCTTAGAACTGTTGTTTAGAAGTGCATTACCCCAAGGAGGTTCCTCCTGGCTGATGTCTGTCCAGTCCACTTGCTCCTTTTCTGAGGGAGCAAGCTTATGGGCGGCTGAGTCATAGCGGTCCTTGGACCCGTTACCCCTGAGTAGTGTTATCAAGAACAGCAGAGCATTTGGCCTTTTTTCCAGTTCATCTGCCGTGAGCTGGCCTCGTTTTCACTTGATCTTTTCCAGCACGGAATAATTTAATCTCCGGGCTCTCCTCTCTAAGGGAAGATTCACGGGTGAGGTCATCTCGTTCGCTGCCTTTCCCGATCTGCTCCAGCACCGGCACAAAGTGGAGTAATGAGGCCCGTTTCTGAGGACTTTCTAGATTGTCCATGCCGCTGTTCACCCTGAGCCGGGAGGTGTGGCTTTGTGTTCTGTTCTCCCTCCTTCCCCCTTCATGGTTTGGGGAACAGATTTTATAATCCACCAGCTGTCACAACTGCAGGCCACCCAGTGGCCACCCTCCTCCCACTAAAGCTGCAGTGACCGGGAAAGAAAAATAATCAAGTCCTCAGGGAAGCACACTGGCTCATCCCAGAGCTCCCTGGTGGGGGGGTGCTGGCCTCAGCGGGGTCCTCACCTGAACGTTCTGCGTTTGTGAGGCCAGAGAAGGACCACGATGGACTAATGTCATTCCCTCAGAAACTGAACGGAAGCCTGCATGTGCCCACACTGATGCCGCACAGGCTCACCAATTCCGTTACATCAGCTCCCGGTGGGAGCCGGGATATCCCAGCCTCATCACGAGCTCCCTTTGGCATGTCTAAGAAAACATCAGTGCATTTGCTGTGAAGGCCGGTTGATAACAAAATCTTTCAAAAAGCATTTTGGGAGAGGAAACAAACGCAATAATATCTTAAAATGGTGTCCAAACGTGCAGCCCCAGTGTTCGGACAGCCAGGGCATCATTCCAAACCTGAGACCTCCCAAGGATAAGAGTCCCCAAGACTTAAGTTTCTCGCTCAGTTGCTTAATGGTCCGATAAACTTAACCCCTCTGTTTTGAACTGCCTCACGATGGTATCCTTTTCCCATACCAACAAGAAAGAGCCTTTCAGATGAAGGGATGGAGAAGTACAGATTGGTAGTTCCAAAACAGTCAGGAGGAGGTAAAGTTCAGCAAAGGGAATACAGTCAGTAATATCGCAGTAACTGTGTATGGTGTCAGATGGGTACAGATTTAGTGGAGTGATCACTTCATAAATTACATGCATGTCTAATCACGGGGTTGTACACCTGAAACTGATACAACATTGTATGCCAACTGTGATTGAAAAAAATAATAAATTATTTTAAAAATGCAAGGCACAACCTATTATAATCTAGTGGAAAGGAAGGCTTGTACTCTAGAAAAATAAAATACTTTAAAATATAAAACAACCCCCCGATCTTTTAGAAAAGCTAGCCCCCCACACCAGGAGGAGGATTTTGTGACTCTTGCATGCACCAATTGAAACCTTATGGCTATTCCACCGGTTTTTCAGGGCCTTCGGCTCAACAGTTCTGGGCCTTCCTGTAACCAGGAAGCTTTGTTGCTGCCATTTCTTCTTCCTGAGGCCACAGCCTGTGGAGTTGGGGCCAGACCATGTCATCCCAGCCGGTAGTGTACTGTCCTCTTAGACATGATCAGAGCAGCATTTGGTCTTCAGGAAGCAAAACACAATGGCTTGGACCTATCTGTTCACAGGGGAGTTAGTTCACTTTATTCATTAAATACTTTTTGATTGATTTCAGAGAGGAAAGGAGAGGGAGAGAGAGGTAGAAATACCAACAATGATGTGCCCTCGACCGGAATCAAACCTGGGATTGTTCAGTCCACAGGCCTACATCCAATTTACTGGGCCAGACCGGCTAGGGCGGGTTTAGTTTACATTGGACCAGCTATCATTTCCGACTGATTCTCAGTGTGGATCTGATTTTTCAGGTGGATAAATTCTAATGTAACATCTGATCAAAGCAACTTTGGTTCTTGGATAAAAACAAGTTCCGTAGCAATTTGTCAAGTTCTTGGAAGATGGATTGTCCATGGCAGCTGCGATTGGTTTCTCCTAATGCTAACGAAACATTGCCTAAGACTCTTCCACCATCTTGGTTCCTCTTTCCTTAAGTGGGATGGCACAAATTGGGAAGACCCAGCTTGGGAGATGGGATGCTTCTCTGGTTTGAATTATCGTGGGCTCACGGTTGATGGAGCAGGAGTTGGAATCACACTAGCCTGTATTTGAATTCTGACTCTATTACGTTGGTGTGTTACTCTGGGTATGTTACTCAACCATTCAGAGCTCAGTTTTTCATCTTTAAAATGTGGCCAACACCTGTCCTGCAGGGTAGTAGTGAGGATTAGAGGAAATAATGTAGCACTAGCAGGGACAGTCGCACAGCAGGCTGTGAGCCAGTGGTGATGCTCAGGCTTTTGATAGAGTGGGAAGGAGCTCCACTTTAGGGGAAGCCACCTTGTTGGTTTGTCACTGGAAGTGTTATTTACATTTACGTCTTCCTATTTGAGAGGCGGATTAGAGTGGTGGGTTAGAATGCAGAGTGTGGCTTTGGTGGCAGGGGCATGAGGTCATTGTTAGTCTTGCTTGTTGGTCTTGCATGTGTATTAATGACATGGCTCTCTGAACCTATTTCCTCAGGTCTGAACTCTCCAACTTGTTGTGAGGAATAGCTCTGATGGTATGAAGTGCCTCATACTGTACCTGACACATGAGAGGGACTCACTGATGATGCCATATTTGCCCATTTAGTCTTTGGTCTCTAGTCATCATATTGCAGGATAATTGTTTGTGGAAGGAATGGGTGAAGCAGCAATCTTATACATGGGGGCATATATACAAAGGCAGGCATTATAAATTATTTGAAGGTTTAAAAGAATAGACATCTTATAAGTATCAGTAATATTTTTCACATTTTGTATTATATCTGAAGCTTAATTTATTATCCAATAAATATGGTAGCTACATGATAACTTCCTGCCAGTTAGATATGTAAGGTTGTTGATTATTTTTTTTAGAATGAATAAAATTTTTAATTGAATGCCATTACAAACTACTGACACATATGAATACAGATTAGGTTTTTAGGATATTGAATAATTAATATATAACAGAATAAAATTATTTGTGATTTTGTTATATTTGGGGAAGTTAAAATATATTTTAGAACCTTGACTTTCTTAAGCAGACCTAAGAAGGAAAATAATTAAAATAAACAGATATATAACTGGATATGACAAGGTTAGCTATGGCAGAAAATATGTCCAAATCTATCAGTTACATACAGCTTCAAAAATAATTTCATGATAACCTTCATCACCCAGGACCAACTAAACCTTTCTAATAATCTTGAACAAGTTTGTCACCATCATTTTTCTATTACGTATTCTAACAAGTTATAAATCCATCTTAATTACAAGGAGTAAACAACACTTTGTTATGCCACTTCGCTGAGCATAACACCATTTTTAATCCAGTATGACTTTGACACCTTTGAATTAAAAACTGACTCAACTTGAGCAAGAAGAAATGAAGTTGGTAATTATCTGGCCAGGGCAGGGTATGTGCTCAGTTGGATCAATGAGACCTCCAGCGGATCTTGCACTCAATTGGAGTATCAGCTGTGGGCATGGCCAATGTGCAACAGATAATTGCCACCTTTACAAGCCCCTCCTTTATAGACTGGGACTTACTGGCTGTTGCAATGAAGTAAAATCTCACGTGCATATACATTCGGAATACTTACAGCTTTAAAATGGGTGAACCCACAATTAGTTCCTAGACAGTCCCTAGAATTAGAAGATTTAGTGAAGCTGTTTAGATATTTTCAGTTTGCTTTTCTTTGTTAAAAATTTTTAATTATTATTTTTAATATATATTTAGTGATTTCAGAGAAGAATGGAGAAGAGAGAGACAGAAACATCAGTGATGAAAGAGAATCACTGGTCGGTTGCCTGCTGCACAACACACACTGGGCACTGAGCCCACAACCCAGGCATGTGCCCTGACCTGGAATTGAATCGTGATCCTGGTTTATAAGTCAGCATTCAACCACTGAGCCATGCCATCCAGGCTGCTTTTCCTCTTGACTGAAGCCCCTAAGAATTGTAGGTTGAGTTCAGCCAGATATATTTGGTTCTTGTTGAGTTTTTCTTTTCTTTCAGAAAAGTAACGTATGTATGCTAACTAGTGTTTCAAAGAAAGCGTCCTAATCCTCTTAGAAATATGCCAAGGAATTCTAGTAGAATATGGGTTCCCCTTATACTGGGAAAGGGGCTGTGAATTTTACAGTAGTGATTCCTTCTATAAACTTCCCGTTAAAACATTTCCTCCTTCTCTTTGCAGTAGATCATGTATGAAATGGTGGGAGGTGTGTGTGTGTTTAGATAAAATAGATGTAATTGACATGAGTTCTTTTTGCATTAAAGAAATACTTCATACCTGGAGTTGTTCCACTGAACTAGCATGAGAAACACAAAGTCATAATGTATTAGGACCCTGAAAAGGATCTTTGGAGCCATCTGGTCGACCACTTTATTTTACAAATGAGATACTGGTGGGCCACTTGCCCACAGCCTGTCAGTCACACAGGGGGCGGGTGGCACAGCTGAGAGAAGAACCTGGGCTTCCTGACGCCTCATTTCTGTGCTCTTCCCAATGTTGGCTGCCCTCAGCATTTAATTTTGTTTGCAGTTGAGCTTTCTGGCATTTGCTGGGTTTGCATAGTTTGTTAAGTAGAAAATCATCCTTTTTTTTTTTTTTAGTGTATGAATGATTGAGGTAGAGCCAGAACACTGTGTAACAGAGATACTTGATGGAAGAACTTGAAATAAAATAGACTTTAACTCACTGTCCCTTTTCTCATAACCAAAAATGAAATCTCTGACTATATAACCAAACCACTCATAACAAATGTTTTTGATCTTTCAGAACAGAAGACTCGTTAACAGAAGATGACAAGAGGAGGTATGTTTAATAGTTAAGCTGGCTTTAATTTGAATAATTTTGGCCACATCTCATGGATGTAATTTAATGTGCTTAAATTTAACTCACAAATTTAATTTAACACTGTAGCACACTACCAATAGAATAGAGATTCAACCGAGACAACTTTTGGCATGGAGTATGTGATCTGGAAAAGAACTTGCCCAGGGTTCATTATCTTTGCCTCTTTCAAGCAAATTTGGTTTCTGTCCTGTGCACGTGGCCTGTAGTAGTTTCCAGGTGACCTTTATTCTCTCAGCCTTTTCCGTCCCCCCATTCCTCCCCTGGCTCACTCTCCCTGCTCTCATTACTCCTTAGCTCTCTGTCTTGGAATTTTATAATTATGTCTACCTATAGCTGAAATGTTTTTGCGTGTTGATAGCATCGAATATCACCTTGGCCTCTGGGAATTCTTGATAAATGTTACGTCACTCCACTGATTTTTATTTCTATATCTCTTTTCTTCTTTCCTATTGTAAGTAAAATATCTAAAATTTCTACTAACTCAATACAGCTTTCTTTTATTCATGTAGCTTCTTTTAGTAGAAAAAAAATTTCATTCCCAAGGGCAATAACAGCCTGAATTCTACTTTTGAAAAAGCATGAGATATTTTAATAATTCTGTAATTGTTTGAATTACTCCATGCTTCTATTGCTTTCTTCAAATATAAAGTTCCATTGAAATTGGCCTGATTTTTCTATATCTGCTCCTTGAAGAAACTACGGAGGAGTGTATGTTGGTCTCCCATCTGAAGCTGTCAACATGGTATCTAATCCAACAAAGACAGTTAGAAAAAGTAAGCAAAATCACGTGATGTTTGTTTTCTCTAAAGATACACTTTGTGTTTTGTGAAAAATATGAAATTTAAATTTCAGCCTGCTTGACTCAACCCACATATTACTGAGTAGCAGGGAAGCATGTATCTGTACTTTGGAATCATTTGTTGAAATTACCACTCATGTGATGAGAGTCATAATTTAGCCTCTGTTTGTGGTTATGCTCCAGGGGTATTGGTATGTTTCATTTTTAATTAATTTCAGTGTTGATCAGTGTGAAAATGGAAGGTAATGTGTCCTTCAGTTTATGGGTTTTTTTGTAGAACATACAAGTAAATTCTTATATGTAAGGCATACAAGGTAATCAGTTTGGTGATTAGAGGAAAAGTAACTGCCTATTGTACAATTAAATGAAATAAGGTTAACAGCACTAGTAATTGTGGGGTGAACATAGTGCTTTTGATAATAGGTGTGATTGCAATCTTACAGATAGCTTCTTGCTTAAGTAAACTTTTAAGTGAGGGTTGTGGTAAAGAGTGCTGATTTTATAGGCACTGCACAGTTGTCTTATGAGTTTTAAAGAGCCATTAATACTGGTATATCTATTGTGCACACAAGGCTGTCTGACATTAATTTTAGCATACGTTATTTATTTGTTCCTCATCGCTGTTTCTCTACTTTATGATTTGAATTAGTAAATAATGTATGTCACGATTCTTTGTGGTTTTATAAAAAACTAGAATATGCTCTAAATATTTAACTTTTCTTAATTTTCTCTTTTAAGATTAGAAGAAAATACCATGACAATAATCAAGAGGTACTGTATATTTTTCTAAGTAATTGGATATTTACTTAGCCTTGATGAATGAACTATAGATACTATTTTATTATGTATTTCTAAAAACCTTGGACTTCAAGATTAGGGAATTGTATGTAAATCTATGGAACGGAACATGTTTTATTGTAAAGAGTCTTTAATGATCAGATCAATTTCCTTTTCCGGTGTTAAAGTATTTTTTATTTTCTTTCAACTGAAAATTCATTTAATAGAAGGAAGCCAAGTGTTTACCAAAAACAGTGAGATTTCACTCTTCATTGCCTACAACGTTAAGGGGCTAGGACCTTAGAAAGTCAGGGAGACTCTAGAGATGCTGGGGCTAGGGTTTAGGTTAGAATCAACATTAAGTGTTTGACAACAGCCAGGAGTTAGTTCATGTACTTAGAAGAGATGTCTCAGTACCAGAACTTCAATGGAGATGGGCAATCCATCAGTGACAAGTGATGTGGCAAGGAATAGTAAAATCATGGGCCAAGTTTACTGCTTGGATGTCATAAAGCATGCTCAACGTAGACAGAAGAAAACATTGTCTAAAGGATGCACCGTGGACCTGGGGTCCTGGCAAAGAGCTTGGATTTAGAATTATAATAAGGTGAACACGAACAGGTGAAAATAACTTCATTTATTACCTCTGAAACTTACCAAGCAGCCTTTCAGTAGAGGCAAGAGCCTCAGCCCACCTGCTCTGACAACACATTTGATGTGTGGCTCCCTCTGCCTTTCCGGCATGCTGGATAACATCTGGCCTCTGGAACCTCCAGTGATTAGGAATGCTCTGTCTCTTGAGATTCCTGAGGTAGCCCATTCTCTTTAGGGAGCCATACAGCCATGGGTTTGAATTCAACCTCTTTCACTTATGAGCTGGGCAAATTATCCCCCCCCCCCTTTTTTTTTTCTTTAAAAATCCGCACCCAAGGACATGTTTTTAGAGAGAGGAGGTGGAAGAGAGATGGGGAGGGGGGAGGGGAGAAAACAGGGTGTATTTCAAAAAGCAAGGGAATAGAGTGGGAAAAGGCAGGTATTAGGTGACTCCGTAGCTCTGTTAACACAGGATCTTAGACAAATCCTTTAGCTTCTTTCACTTTTAGTTTTCTCAGGGGAGGCAAGATGATTGCTAAATTTTGTGTGTGCAGCTAAAATTCCCTGGTAAAAATTTAGCATTGTTGCTCGCAAGCCAGTCCACCTAACTTTAGACAACTGGCTAGAATATTTCCTTACAACTCATAGCTGTAAATGTATGTTATTTTATTGCCATCCGTCTCTCTTCTCAGTTTTCCCTGTTTCTACACAACCGGCTTGATCCTGGTTTCTTCTTTGGCCTCCTTTGAATTACCTGCAACGTTTCCTAAGTTGAAAGGCTGTCAGTTTTCCCTGGTTGCTAAGCATCCATACCGTGCTTATCCGTAACACAGCTGAACCCATGGCTTTCGGGCTTAAACTACTGGGCAGAAACCCTGATGAGAACGCTAGAAAGTTAGGTAGAAGAGAAGACTCATAAACTTACAATTAAAACGTCATAATAACTCCTCAAACTAGCTGCATATCAGCATCACCCAAGTTAAAGTACAGACTGCTTTGGAAAGAAAGACATTGTATGCAGAGGAGTGGAGACATGTTTTTGTGGCTTCACACGTAAAATCTCTTTTGAAATAAAGCCACAGAACTCACTCATGACCGAAGTTCAAAGTTGACTTGGGTGCTTTTTGAAGCAAATTGGGGAGTGATTTCAGAATCTTTTAAGAATACTTATATCATGATACGAACGTGTAGTTTTTTCTACAGATGACTCGAGGGTAAAGGTTAGCCCACTTAAGTATGTGGAGTGGTGCCAGTACAGAGGAGCTCAAGGGATGGCTCTCAGATGCCAATGGATGGGCCTAGCTAGCTATGTCAGCATCCCCCTTTGACATAATGTGGATGGCAGGACCCCTCCCAGGAGTCTGCCCAAGTAGGGAAGGGATGGGGCTGAGGCTGAGCAGTCTGTACTTTAACTTGGGTGATGCTGATATGCAGCTAGTTTGAGGAGTTATTATGACATGTTTTAATTATAAGTTTATGAGTCTTCTCTTCTACCTAACTTTATGTCTTTATATAAGTCAGTGATTAGCGCTGTGCTGGCTATGCATTAAGTCTTAAATAAATAGTAAGTGAATGTTGACCGTGTATTTTACTTAAAAGAAAACCAGTAAATAATTGATAGACCGTCAGATTGCTGTGGAACCAATATAGCAATCTGAGAAAGATTTCAGAGAGAAAGGGAGAGGGAGAGAGAGAGATAGAAATATCAGTGATGAGATAGAATCATTGATTGGCTGTCTCTTGCCACACTGGAGATTAAGCCCACAACCCAGGCATGTGCCCTGACCGGGAATCAAACCATGACCTCCTGGTTCATAGGTCAATGCTCAACCACTGAGCCATGCCGGCCAGGCAGCTGATATATTTTTATTGACATTGTACCTTTTCAAGCTTGCTAATGATTTCTCTTTGTTATCTTCAGAGCTTGTTCATCAAGATTTAGAGACGCTGTAATGTGCAGACATTTCCAAGGAAATTCTAAACAGTCACCTGCCTCCCCAACCTCCCCAGAGTTCTTAAGTCTGTGGTTAAAGCCATGAGTGCATATGGAACCATGTGCTATTGGAAAGGACCTAGTTAGACAGTATACCTGCATATGGAACTCTCCGCGGTCAACCTACGAAGGACGAGCTACAGACTGCTGCCCCGCCAGCCTACTCTGCGCCAGCAGCCTTCCCACCCTGGCCACTCAGCCCGGCTCATGGAGATGACGTCTTTTCACGGATGCTTTTTTGATAGTTTTTATATAACCAAGTCCTTCTTTTATTTGTAACTGAAGATAATAAGGCACAATAGACGGATTACCTGAAATAATATATTTGTCTGCTATCTTTCACTATTTCTACTTCACATTAATTTTTTTAGCTGTAGAATTGTTAAATTGACTCTTACTGTTATCTCTTTCCCCTCCCCCCCTTTTTTTTTTTTTTTTTTACTATTTGGTTTTCAGCTTTATTTAAATGTCAGAGAATTTCCTTCATTAGGGACAATGTATGACATTGCAGTATTAAAGATAAATGACTGAAACTGGCATGTGGTAGACACATTTGATTATCTTCCTGTTTCCTTTAGTTCCAGGCTCTGTGACTACAAACACTTCATAGCCACTGAGTCTCCCTTCCTACCTTCGAACGGTCACAGCCTCTCCTCATGTTAATCCTATACTATTTCAAGGACCTATGAAGGATGGGTAATAGGATACTTGGAAATTTTTCAATTTGATGATGACATGTGTATCCTCTTAGTATTGCAATGTAAACTACTCAATTTACCAATGTATTTCAATGATTAAAATATTTTTATCCCTGTTTACCTGGATTTCTTAATTCTTTTTCAAAAGAATGCTTTCAAGGAAATTATATACAACATTGTGCTGTATAGATACAATATACCAACCTGTGAAAATAATGTATAGATTACCATGTTAAATCAAAATTTTTCATAAGAAGAAAAGCATTATATATTTGGTCCATATGACAGTCCTAAGCACATCAGATTGATAAAAAGTATTGAAGTTTTTTTTATGATGCACACATGCCTGTCTCTTATCCATAAGTCCACAATGGCATTGGGGTGGACTATCAGCAGTATTTCCCGTTAGGGACGGCAGCTAGAGTCTCTTTTTGAAAAGTTTTAATTTTTAAAATAATTCTAGATTTATAGATGAGTATAAAGGCAGCATAGAGAGGTTCTGTATACTTTTCTCTCAGCTTCCCCCAACCTAAACATCTTATATAAACACAGTACATTTGGCAAAACTAAGTACTTGGATATTAGTACAGTGAACTGAACTACAGCCTTTACTTGGATTCTGTTTTTCATTCATGCCCTTTTCCTGTTCCAAGATCCGATCCAAGATTCCATTTCATTCTGTTGCAGTTGGTCATCCTATCTGCTGGCATTTTTTTTAGTCTTCCCTTGTTTTTCATGACCTTAACACTCTTTGAAGCCTGCTGACTGATATTTTGAGATATTTCCCTTCATTTGATGTTTTCTTATTAGACTGGGGTGATAGCGTTTGGGGTAGAATGTCCTCACCACATTGTAGTGTGATATGACATCACCGCGACTTTTACTGGCGATATTAACCATGGTCACTGGGTAGGGCCATCTGCCAGGTTTCTCCACTGAGGTTTCTGGTTTTCTTTTTCTGTCCTTTGTTCCTTATGGGTGAGTCGCTAAGTTAAGACCACACACCCAAGGAAAGAGTATCAAGGAATTTGTGGACATTGGCTAAAAGCACCACTGGCACTAGTCAGTTTGGCTCAGTGAATGTTGGCCCGAGGACTGAGGGGTCTCAGGCTTGATTGCAGTCAAAGGCACGTAATTCGATTGCAGGCTCAATCCCTGTTTGGAGCATGTGTGGGAGGCATCTAATCTATGTGTCTCTCTCACATCAATGTTTTTCTCTCTGTCTCTCCCTCTCTTCTACTCTCTAAAAATCAATGGAAAAATATCTTTGGTGAGCATTAACCAAAAAAGAAAAGAAAAGCACTATGGTTATTAGTATTTTGGGGGAGACACTTTGAGATTGCAAACATCCTGTTTCTCTTTAAAGGTTTGCTCACTGTTTTAGCACGCCTCCTTGGGTGCTGCCTGTAGCGTTTACTACTGTGGTGTTCCAGTGGTGATTTTGAACTTCCCTCATTTCTTCACATGTACTATTTGCAAGTCTTCTCTAAGGAATATTTATTTACCCATTTATTTTTCCTTCTCTAAGGAATATTTATTTACCTTTCCCTTATTTATTTACCTATTAAAACATTTATATCTAAATGGACTCATTTTGTTTTTTAGATTATAATGCAATCACCATTTTATCACTATCACTATTTTATTGCTCACTATTTTATTGCTCTGACCATTGATAATTTTTTCAGGTTGATTCTTGACAAACGCCATCATTTTTCTTAACCCTTGGGTTGTCTTCTTAAAAGCAAGCAGGCCTGTGAAATAAAATTCCAATTTGAAAGTTCATTGTAACAGTCCTAAAACTTGACCACATTTCATTATAAATGAAAAGTACTTTCCATATTATGACAAGCCTTAACACTTTCCTTCAACCAGGCATTATTTAAATTTAGAGATTTGTGATTATTGTGTGTAAATCACACTTGCCACTCACCTACCTATGTCTGATTATAATCTTTACTAGTAGCCCTGCGCATGAATCCGTGTGCCAGTAGCTCTCTGCAGGGCCTGGCCACTCCATGCCCACTGCCCAGAGGCTCTCTGCAGCCCAGAGCCCATTTGCGTCCATGCGCAGAATGCTTGCCTCCTCACTGTGGCGACAAAGCAAGCATTCCACCAGGCTGCTCATGCTGTCCGCTCTCAGTGGTCTCCCCCTGGGACTGGGGGACTCTGGCAGGGCTGAGAGGACTGGATGCCTCCATCTTGTGGCTATGGGCACTGCCATATTTGTGACGGAGTGATGGTTAATTTGCATATTATCCTTTTATTAGATAGGATTACATATGGAGGAATCTTGAGTGAAAGACTAGGAGAATAACTTTTTAAAAAATATATACTCTTGATTTTTTTTTTTTTTACAGAGAGGAAGGGAAAGGGATAAAGAGTTAGAATCATTGATGAGAGAGAAAAATCGACCAGCTGCCTCTTGCACATCCCCTACTGGTGGTGTGCCCGCAACCAAGGCACATGCCCCTGACTAGAATCGAGCCTGTGACCCTTGAGGAAAGGGAGAAATTTAGGTGTATTTTCAACTGATATGGGGCTACTTCTTCTTTGTTGCCTCCATTTTTTTAAACTATAAAATGGACCTTATGCTTAGCAAGACTGATTTGCTATTGAACCAACTTCTTGCTGAAAGATATAGTGGAGTTGGTGTTGGGGATGGGAGGAGTCACAAAACAGTTCCTTTTGGAGCTAAGGAATAAAATCTATAACTTGGGATTTCCAAATTCCCTACTCAAGGGCAGTATATTGGGAAGGAGTGATTGAAGGAGGTGGTGTCCTTTAGGAACAAACTGTTCTCCCATTTGTCTTCAGTGTTGAATATTTGGGGCTGCGGATAGCTATCTCTCCTCTTCCATCTCATCCCACAGGCCTTTCTAGGTAGCCTCTTTTCATTCTCCAAGGGCAAAAGGACATTCCTAGCCCTGGAAGCTTAGTCCAGAATATTTCTTCTTCTTGGAGTGTTTTTCCACTTCTCTCCATCTGTCTGGCAGGTTCTTTTTCATTTTAAAGCTCATTTCCAATGTCATCTCCAGGCAGAACTCCCTCTCCTGCCCTCCTCCACCACTTGGCCCTAATACAGCTTAGCATGGTGCTCTTCAAATGTACTTTCATCCAGTTGCTCCAGACATACACTGAACCTGGCCACTTCTCTCTGTCCCTGCTGCCACCAATGCCTGAACCGTCTCTGATCTTTTCACACAGAGTAAGGGTGAGCGCAGAGAGATACAATGGCCTGGTGGGCCCTTGTCTCTTATTGTTCAGGGAACATCTTGCCTGGTACACCCTGACCCCTGGCAGCAGCCCAGCGTCTGGCTCACAGGAGGGAATAACAACGGTTTATTGAACGTTGATGGAATAAAGTGCTTTTAGTTGCTTGGCAACTTACCAGGCACTTTCACATATATACTATTTAATCCTCATAGCAGTTGTCTACACTTTAAAGTAAAAGGAAACTAGAAAAGTAGTTTGGGTTAATTTCTTTCTTAATTATCAGCATAAAATATGCGATAAAACTTTCAGTGTTTAACATCTTTTAAAAAAATTCTATGGGCTAGCGTCATGCCTAGGTAATGCATGTGTCTACTGCCCCCTAGTGGAATTTGCTTCTAATGGCAGCTTTATTTTTCCTTATCGCCAGTGGGAGTAATCCCTATCATACTTTCTTTAATATATTCACAGATTTCAGGGTTCTTCAGCAATTTCTTTACCAATCAGAGGAGAAAGGCAGGGAGTCTATATCCTGGATTATTACATAATTATACCCACTTATTGCCTGTGTATCTGAGTAACTTATTTCTGTGTTTCAGATTCCTAACTTGGAAAGTGGAGACCATAACAACAGGGTCTTCCCAGATGTAATTTATATGAAGTCACACAGGATTAAATGAGACCTAAATTCAAGGTCATTGATGTCCTTATAAGAAGAGAAAGAGCCGAAACTGGTTTGGCTCAATGGATAGAGTGTTGGCTTGAGGACTGAAGGGACCCGGGTTCGATTCCAGTCAAGGGCATGTACCTTGGTTGCGGGCTTACCCCAGTAGGGGGTGTGCAAGAGGCAGCTGATCAATGACTCTCTCTCATCGATGTTTCTAGCTCTCTATCTCTCTCCTTTCCTCTCTGTACAAAATCTTGTTGTACTGCCTTGTTGACGCCTTGATTTTTTTCATGTCCACCCTCCAACACTGTGAGAAGACATTTCTATTGTTTTTAGCCACCATTTTATGGCACTTCGTTACAGCAGCCACAGGAGGCTAATA